AAAGAATGCTGCTCTCTGGGAGGTGAGTTTGTGGGTTGTACAGGTAGTCGTTGGAGTGGGGAGCGAGGCTGGGTGTACGTAAAATGGGTAAGGGTAGGGCTAATTTGGGTTGAGTTTGGATCTGGGTTGATGCTTTTTGTGGGAATTGGGTGTTTGTTTTTTGCCAGAGGGAGATTCGGGGCTGATTTAGAGAGGAGTGAGGGCTGTGGTGGTCTTGATTGTAGCGTTTGGGGGTTGGTTCTTTTTTGCTGAGTTGTGTGATCGTCATGGATCCAAGTTTATCAGATTGGTGCTCATGATGCCAGTAACTGGATTGTTTGGTCCAGACTCGATTACTTACAGATTTGCAAACCAAGCTACTCAATCAACTGCCTTACTTAAAAAAGTATAGGCGTCAAGAGGATAATGGTTATGAGTTTAACTGGTCTTACCCTTCTTTGAAGATCCTTTGGACTAATTCATACAGCTTTTACGTGTGCTTGTTTGACGCTCCCCCGAAAGAAAAAACAAACAACAAAGCAAAAAAAAACAAAACAAAAAAACAAAGCAAAACGAAACAAAAACAAACAAACAAACATGCAAACCAACCAACCAACCCCCATAACCAAAAAAACAACAACACACACACACACAAAACAACAAATCAACAAAACGAAAGAAAAGACCAAAAACCCCAAACAACAAAAAACACACCGACCCAAAACAAACAAGCAAAAACAAACAACAAAAAACAAAACAAAATCCAAGACAACACCAACAAAACAAAAACAAAACAAAAAGGACAAAACAACAACACACACTCTCCCTGAATCCCTCTTCCGTCATCCGAAGTTAAATTACTATCCGGCGATATTGTGTCTCTGACAAGACTGTTGTGATACATGACGTGTAAAAAGGGAACTGCTCGTCAATCTCAAGATCCGAGAATAGAGCACGTTACGTAAGGGAAGTTACGTTTAGTATTGCGGAAGCAGAATAACATACGTGGTTCTTCAAACAAAGGGCTGCTTTGAACTCCCGATATAACTTGACACGTCATCAAACTGGAAGTAGTCACATGAATATAGTGTGAATCATCCAGCATTGTGTCCAAGACATGACAAAAAAGCCACAGCTTGAATGGTTGTATGCATCAGCATAAGATCAGCCTGCAAGATCATTTTGCAAAACATAAAAATAGCAGGTAGGGTTAAACCTACACCGGAGATCTAGCGGCAAGACAGTTGTGCAGTGCATTCTACGTGACACTACCGAAATTTTGAATTAGGTATTGAATAATGGAAAGTAGTCTCTGGACAATCGTTCGCTGGACATGATGGCCGTTACAAATAAGTAAAATAAATGAAAACATATAAAAATAATATCCCCTTTCAGTGATACAATGCATGTTTTGGAGTTGTGGTCTGGATAAATTCCTGTCTCAAACCAAACGTCCCAGGACCCACTGACGTATCCCGAAACATGAATGGTCAGTCCTTAGTGACCTCCAAGACAATCAGTGCATGGCGACATTTTCAAAGCGCGGCGAGTAATGACAGGTTCGTACCAAATCATTGGCCATTTACCACCAAGTAGGAAAACGTATCTTGTCCAAAATATCAGACCCCGCCACGGATTATGTACTGCGTTCGGCTCTCTGATCGTTATTGTCCTGGGGTCCGATCCACAAAGCATTCATGGACTACGACATTCGTAAGTCTGTGGTAATGTTATGAGTGCTTGTGGATCGGAACCCATTGTGTTTAAGCCGTAACATAAACCTTATGCAATTAAAACCTGGTGGCAGATAACTTGGGACACCTTAGTCCTTACGTGACAAAAATACTCACATGGCTATGCCTTCATTTCAAAGAACATACAGCTGTTTTGAGTCACTCAGTAATTACAGCTCACTGGTCATGCTGGCGTGACTGTTATCAACGTTCCATCTTCAGGGAACCAACGAGATTTGAACATTCCAAGGGCTTGAAGTGTTAAATAAATTATGCATTATCCTGCTGAATACACATTGCTCTCGACAAACTTTGGTACATAGAACAACCTTAATGAGTGAGTGAGTTTAGTTTTACGCCGCACTCAGCAATATTCCAGCTATATGGCGGCGGTCTGTAAATAATCGTGTCTGGACCAGAGACTCCAGTGATCAACAGCATGAGCATCGATCTGCGCAATTGGGATACGATGACATGTGTCAACCAAGTCAGCGAGCCTGACCACCCGATCCCGTTAGTCGCCACTTACGACAAGCATGGGTTACTGCAGATCAATATTCTAACCCGGATGTTGTAAAGTGAGTCTACTTCCGCTTCATCTTAATTCAGTGATGTACACTTCATATGGCCTGCGAGATTTTCAAGGCGTTGTTTATCAGTTTAGAATTGTAACGACCAACCACACATCTTGCATGAGTTCACACACATAACTAGGAAGTTACTTGTTTCAAAATCAGTAAAATTATGAGAATGCTCTGACGCCACTTTCAGCATTTTTCCAGATGTCATTACCATTGGCACGAAGAATGGACATTTGTAACCTATTTGGCCAATAGATCCTGGTTTTTGTCTGACGAGCAAACAATTAATCCACTGCCCCTTCTTACATAGTGATGTCATCGTATCCCAATTGCGTAAATCGATACTCATGCTGTTGATCACTGGATTGTCTGGTCCAGACTCGATTATTTACTGACCGCCGCCACATAGCTGGAATATGCTGAGTGCGGCAGCTCGCTCACTCACTACCTCACTCACTCTTACATAGTGAGTGAGTATTTCAGCTGTGTATATCACGGCGGGGGCCATCAAAAATTGGTTTCGCACATTGATCCTGTGGGGAGAGTCAAACCCGGGTCTTTGTCGCTACAATCATACGATTTAACAATTGGGCTACCCCGCCTCCCCTTTTCAGAGATCATGTTATTGCTGGATGAGCCCTGGTGGAGGGGTAGCCTAGTGGTTTAAGCGTTTGCTCGTCACACCGAAGTCCCGGGTTCGATTCCCCAAATGGGTGCAATTTTGTGAAGCCCATTTCTGGTGTCCCCCGCTGTGATATTGCTGTAATATTGCTATAAAAGCGGCGTAAAACCATACTCACTCACTCTTATATGACATTATAAACCGTGTATGAACTTCGTACCACAATTCAAAGGGCAATTACAACGGTTGCACACACTGATAACTCCATAATATTATTAACTTACTTTATGAACCCCAAATCCCATTAATCCGAATCGACTTATCCCGTGGCATGGCGCAATGCCCGTTCTATGTAAGAATAACAAAGTATATATGAACCGGCTGAAAGTAGATTGTGTAGTTTTAGCGCTGTAACTATGTTTCTTTTGATGTTGGCTTGCTTCTGCCATCACTGCCCCATTATCAACGACTGAAGGGGAAGAGGGTGTAAAAAGGGGTGGGATTGTCTACCCGGAGACGGAACTATCCCGTCGTGTGCTATCTGCCGCCTGTAATCAATTTGAATAGGGATGTTGAAATAGAAATTAATTTACCTGAGTAAATATTTCTGATGTTACTTTGTTTTTATCAGTCTGAAGTCTTGTCGAGTGGTGTATGGTTATGTATGAACAATAACGGAGAATATCACTCGCGAATTATCAAATATCGGTAAAACGCCCAGGCTTTCCGAGATTAAAACTTTACAGATGAGTGTTCATAAATGTGATATCAATAGATCTTCGACGTCAGATGCTATTTATCATCCAAATTAATGCGCCCTACTAAGTTTGTAAACGGTATTCCCAAATGTGGGATTCGAACCCGCGATCTGCAGATCCTGCAACAGACGAGGTGAGGTGAAATTGGGTTCAACGTCGTGCTTGAGAATATTTGGCTCATATGACGACGTGCATGTGTGTGTATGTGTATGTGCGGCTGCTTGTACTAGCCCAGACTTAAGCTGGTTTTATAGTGCTAGCTCACTGAGAAACCATACCGCAGTGAAGCATGAATACCCCACTCAGACACAGTATACTAACTCCGAGCCGACCAGTCCTTGTTGTACCCATTAATGCCGAGCGCCAGGCAGGGACCAACAAGTACCATATTTTAACGTCTTTTGGTATGACGCGGTCGGGGATCGAACCCGCGACCTTCCGCTCTCCGGGCGGACGCTCTAACCACTACACCACGGAGGTGGTCGACTAAGGACGAAACTGAACAGCTGTGACACCCACGTTACCTTCATGTACATGGTTGGAAAACTACAAACTTTATGAAAATACATGCTGCACTTGCAGTACAGATTTCCCAAAGTACAGACACGATACGGGTGGCAATCGAAGGGATATAGAGTACACAAATTGACAAGCATAAAAGGACGGTAACATTCGTTTAATTATTGTACATTGAACTTCTGGATGAAATATATATATTTGCACATTGCGTATGAATACAATGTAAGTGAAGAACTTTGTTGTTTTTAGATTGAAACCGGAGTGTAATTTAGAAAAAAACCCACCCAGTTCATGTACACGTACACAGAGTTGAAATAATTGGTTATGTAATATTGACATTAACTGTATTACTGTTTGAAAAACAATTCTGTTTAGATTCAACCTGGTCTTTTAAATGAGTAAATAGTTAGTTATTGCACTGAAGTATGCTATGTTTACAACTGAAAGGCCAAATAAACGAAACAAAAACACCAAGGAAATATATTAGGGGAAACAGCGTCAAAACGTTGAACAATAAATTTCATGAGATTGATTGTTTGTCAGAGTAAGGAAGTACAACAGTTATTTTTAGAACCCGTTTCTACAGTACGCTTAACGAACATGATCTTGACAAGCAAATCCTTCAACCGATACCCCTTTGAAAATTTTCCTGTCACTGAGTGCGAGTGTCCGAGCTTGTTAGCCGCACTGTTAATGAGGTCGTCTGTTCAGTGATACACAGGTATTCCCATCCTAGCTATAGAGCACGAATTGAGAGAGTGAACGCAGGTATTTCAAACTCCACTCTCCCCTTTCCAACCCACCCACCTGCCTGACCTGTTTAGTCAGTGAGGTCACAGCTTGTGCTCAGTTGAGCGAAACAGACGGTTATAACGTCTGCCATCACCACAGTGGCAGGACCAGCGTATCGTGCACAAGTATCGAACTACCATTTCTTGAGCGAGTCGAAGTTTCATTGCTTACTGTTCTCACGTCCATCAACCCAACAACTGTTGTGATCTCGGTTGTGAAATAATTATGCGTCACATCTCGCGGGAAGCGTTGACACGCGCAGACGACAGTTTCAGTGAACTGGTCAGTCGCTCGGGCTAACTTGGATATAAGACGCACTGGAGAACTGACAAGTAAGTTTTTGTTTGACACACGCTGTTTTTTGTTTAGTTTAAAACTTATACCTATATACAGATGTTGACAACGAGACGGTATCAGGGTACGTTTTAGATTGTAGACACAGTGGTGTATGCTCGATCGTGACAGCGGTATGTCTGTGTACACTTGAGTTCTTTTTACATGTGGGCGAGGTCTTATGAAACTACCCAGTACTGTAGCGCGTTCTCCACTCATGTGTGTCTTCAGACCATTCATTTGTTTCCGTTAAAACATGAAAACAGTGATTAATTGCTCTTTCATTTTAACTTTTACAATACTCACTTGTGTGTGGCCTGTAATATATTATTTACTTCAGACATATACCCAGTTAACTTTAGGGGGATCCAGAGGGAAGGGGGTCTGGTTCAGGTATATATATTTGCACATTGCGTTTGAACACACACACACACACACACACACACACACACACACATTTCAACCAGACCCCTTTTGTCCTGAAAGTTTATTAAATGACCATTGAAACTCTCGTTAAAACGTATGAAAATGAACTGTGCACCCCCATTTGTCAAAAAGCTGTACCCGCCCCTGGTTAACTGTAGTTATAACAGTAAATTATAACGCTTTTCCCACTCCGTGTTGACAGACAGTATTACGTCGACTTCGTTTAACAACATTCCGTAAAATATTTATAAACAAAGACTGTAGTAAAGAAAACCTCTCGCCCTATCGCTTGCGGGGAAGTTTAAACAATGTCCCTGACATGAACATAAAGTAGCGGGAATTGTACACTTAAACAATCCATTAGACCCCAAATTACAACGGTTAACAATACCTCACTAGCGCGAAAACAGTCTCTAAAACGCTGCTAACCTAAGACCCAGGCCACCACTAAGACTATAACAATCTTGAATTTTTTTATTTATTATTATGATTATATATATTTTATTTTTTAATTTATTAATTTTTTTATTTTTTATTTATTTATTATTATTATTAATTTTTTAATGAAGACTGTGCACACAGTTCTGTGAAAACATCCCTTAAAGTGGTCACGATCACTGACGTTTTCTTCGTCAGTATGTACAAAAAACAATATCTTGATTGTTTCTGTTTTAGCCACTAAAAAAGAAGACTACAAATCTTCTTTTGCCCAGCAGTTTAGAATCACCCATTACAGGGCATGATTATCCCATATATTATCGGTTGCTATAAGCCGGACAGAGACAGAGATATACATTTGTAGTCACCATTAAGGCCATCCGTCCATATCACGTAGTCATTACAGTGAAATGGAACCTAAAGTATAGTGAGGTGAAGAGACTTTCATTATCAAATTACAGATTTTACTGAGTTTATTAACACATTTATGTCTAAATATTTGGAAATAAACTCGTGTAGATAAGTTAGTATAGCCAGCCATAGATTACTCTTAATAAGTGTAACGATATTGCCTGGAATAGCTTGAGAGATCGTCAATATATGCATACTGGGTATATGGCAGTCCGACTTATATAAGGCGGAACTTGAAGAACATATTCCGATGTATGTATGGGGTACTAGGGATATGTTTGACTCGAAATTCCCATAGGGTCCTTACACTCGAACTGTGAAATGGTGAAACAGGTGACTACACCTGCACACATTAAACTTTTTGTAAATTCAAAAGACGTGAACAAAGTCGTGTTTCTTAGGCATCATTCCATAGATACGTATGTGAAATAAACTATTAATTAACAAAGATAATAACAAAAGTTAATTATTCAATACCATAAATATGTAACATTTGTGTAGACAATCACGTGACGGTATTTTGACCAGTCGTGGCACAGGAGAAATACTACCTATATAATAAAAAAACATATCGTGCGTGAGTATGAATATATGAGACATATTTTAGTCATTCTCGCTGAGCATAACAATATCACTTCATACTGATTCACTACGTATACTTCTCTCCAACTGTCCTTTCATTCATCCAAGCAACGTGATACTGTATAATTCATTTCCGTACATAAATGACTATGACGTCATTTGGCTCATTACGTCATGTGTTGTATGTGATGTTGTGCCAACAATAGACTGAATGAAATGATGTTTGAATATAAGACAATAACCCACTCGTCGCTACATTTCCTCAGAGCACAATAGGTTATATATAGAATGACCTACTCCCAACTGTGAACTCTGCCAAGGTGTGAGAGTCTAACATTAAGTCACACATGGTATATTCATTAATTCCTCGCAGCGAGTAGGTTATTCTCTAAATAACACAATTAAATCCACCCATGCCTAAATAAATGACATATAATGTTATACACGCTATTTTACGGAGATGTGTGTTTTGTTTCGCGTGGGTTGGGTTTCTGGTGGTATCCTGTCTCAAACGTCATTCCGTGCACTTCATTCCTTGAGACAATATCCTGACATGTTAATGACAGCTCGCTCTGTTAGCTGGTGACTCACGAGGCTTAAAATACACTTTCATTAACCAAATTATACGTTATAACGGTTCCAGACCTTACCCAGTAGTAACAAACTGGGGGCGGTGGGGTAGTCTAGTGGTTAAAGCGTTGGCTCGTCACGCCGAAGACCCGGGTTCGAATCCCCACATGGGTACAACGTGTGAAGCCCATTTCTGGTGTCCCCGCCGTGATGTTGCTGGAATATTGCTAAAAGCGGCGTACAGCCAAACTCAGTCAGTCAGTCAGTAACAAACTGAGTCTGATGAGCTTAAGATGTAAATATTTTCTTCTCACGGCATTTTGAATATATTAAAAAATTCGTCGGAGTAATATTCATATGCATACAAATATATGTTCATGCATGTGATTATTTGTATTTGTGGCATGTTGATGTATTTACATAATGTTTAACTGAAAACATGCTTGATGATGTGTATATTATAAGCACGCACAGCACTCTGTATTTTTGTACAGCTTAAACTATTCATAAAACCGACCTAATGATTATATCATATCCACATGACATGTAAACAACAGAATACAACTGTTGAAACTCACTGATTTTCATCTCAGTCAGCTTTAATCACTTTTTCCGTTTTCATGGTAACGAATGTAAACGATATTACTTGCATCAACGGGGCGGTGGGTAGCCTAGTGGTTAAAGAGTTCGCTCGTCATGCCGAAGGCCCGGGTTCGATTCCCCACATGGGTACAATGTGTGAAGCCCATTTCTGGTGTCCCCTGCTGTGATATTGCTAAACGCGGCGTAAATTAAACTCACTCACTTGCATCAACAGATAGCCTGTTTCACAATCTCTGCACTATATTATATTCCCTTCCGCCCAGGCCTATCTGTCATGCAAAGCTCCAAAATGAAGCAGATCTAGATTTTCCTCAGGTTCAGGTTCAGAGTCTTCATTCTCACTGGGGCTCATTTTCAATTTGACCCGTGAAGATCCAGGGTAGAATAGGTCTTCAGCAACCCATGCTTGCCACAAAAGGCGACTATGCTTGTCGTAAGAGGCGACTAACGGGATCGGGTGATCAGGCTCGCTGACTTGGTTGACACATGTCATCGGTTCCCAATTGCGCAGATCGATGCTTATGATGTTGATCACTGGATTGTCTGGTCCAGACTCTATTATTTACAGACCGCCGCCATATAGCTGGAATATTGTTGAGTGCGGCGTAAAACTAATCTCACTCACTCACTCCTTTTCAATTTAAATAAAGTTATTCTTTTCAGTATTAATTACAATCATGTTTATAGATCAAGATCAAGATCAAGATGGTTTATTGTACATAAGGCCTCTGGCCCGTATACATAGTATTGTAATGACAGGCAAGGTATGGACATTGCAAACAGTGGAAAGCATCATAACATTGTTAGATTAGTTGACAGGAGAAATTAGACTCTTCCTTAAAGACAGCGAATGTGTTAAAAACAGGGCTAATTTTACATGGACAGATTCGTCTTTTGATGATAAAATTCTTATAAGTGTTTCCCTTGTAGGGTGACCCAGATATTTTTGTGGAATGTACTCCTTTCTTAAATCGGCATAAGCGTCACATATAAATAACAGATGATATTCGTCTTCGATATCCGCCATACAGACAGGGCAAAATCTGAGATGTTTGGCGAGTGACTTGTTACGGCCAGTATTGATCATTATATCTGTCAAGCCAAGTCTAAATCATGTTTATAGAGACTACATGTTAGTAATCAACAAATATTTATAAGAGAGTATGATACAAGCGATAAGCAGTGAACAAAAGTATGCATTTATTCTTGTGTACCTTCACTTAAACATCCAAGTTACAGAAAATTGCTGAGTCATAACAGTTTTATTGAATGTATGAAATTAGACATTTTGCATGTCAAAACCGAACACCTGATGTTGAAGACAGTATAGTTTAAATGAATGAGTAAAATGAATGAGACGATGTGATTCATGAGTGTGAATAATACGTAATATTGCAGAAGATTCCTATTTCAAAGTAAGACATGCAGTATAAAACTAAAGTAAATGCGTATTACTATGATTTCAAAGTGCACATTTGGCTTAGAAACCTAGTTAGTTATATTATTTATGAGATGAACAAATGGCGTTTTTGTCACACGACGCAAAATTTTGTAACATATAATTTAAACTTTGATGCAGCCTCGTAAACCCACTGAGAGAAAGCCATTTAAATTGACAATCGAGTTAATTATATGTTCTGCTTCTTTCATTTATTAAATTCATTAATGCTCATGATCGTGTCCAAGTCACATATGTAGGTGACAGAAAAGTCACGTATTTGCGTGACAACTGCGTCTCTCTCGGGTCACGCGATTCTTCTAAAACAACCGTCACAAAACATTCGGAACTTTGAAGGTCAAGTGCATGCACGTACGCTAACAATACTCGCGAAATAGTACACACATACCGTATTGCCGAATAACATACCTTGAAGTCAAAGACTATAATCGCTTGGAGTGGTACTTACGTTGACAACAGAGGACAAACAATGAACACAAACATGCTGATGACTGTCTTTGAGGATATATTGCATCAGGATTAAGCATTTTCCAATACACTGCTGGTGAGACATGTGGTGGTTTTGAATGGACGACCTTCATATTCCCTTAGAAGGTAGTGTTTACGGCCATTGATTATTTTATGCTGAACATCAACGCCCTGTATTGTTTCATTTTATTCATAAACCTGTACCAAGATGCATGATGACCTTTACCGTCAATATATATAGAACGTCAGGCAGTTATGGATTTGGCTGCATACGATTCTGACACACTAACAGAAATAACATTATTTTAGTTATATCACGGTATGTCAACGTAATGTGAGATGAAAAAGCGAAGGATGAAGGTCTCAGACATTTACCACTTTGAAAGGTGTTGACAGACCTAAAAACATAATCGGGCCGAACTCACATTCGCAGGTTTCTGGCGTGCCCAAGGGAGGTTACTCTGCGCAGTGAATTGATAATGTTTAGTGGTTTCACATAAACACCACAAAAACACTCACAGGTCAACATAAACAGGTTAGGGGTGGGTATTGCAAAGAATTTTCATATTGCGATATATTGCGATGCGAAAGCATGTATTGCGATATGTATTGCAACAACAAAATCACTATGCCTGATTAAGCTTTAATAAAAACTATCTTACCATTGCAAATTTTACTCTTACCAATAGTTCCATCTACCGTGAACTTTTTCACCCAAAATGCCTTTGCCCTAGTATTTGGCACCACAATAAATTGTTCGTTGTTGGGGGTCACCATCTTACAACACACGCATGGTTTCCGGTGTAAAAAACGGAAATATCCGAAGATTTTCGAGTGTTACCAAGTTTTCCGAATGCATGTCAAAATACCGGTTTTCGATCAACGTATCGCAATACGTATCGTTTTCATGTCTGAACCGGTATATACGGGTAAACCGGTTATATTGCGCAGCCCTAAAACAAGTCATGCATTATAAAATGACAACATATATCGACATCATTTAAAAGATTCATATACAAGCTAAAACCTTGCGTAGACCCTGAAAGAAAACTGGTCGATAGGGTTACCGGAAACAGTTCCTTATAGACAAAAAGGTCTAAATGCACGGCAATTCCTTCTTTCTGGTGGTAGTACAAAGGATGGCCACGCCGTGATGTTGCTGGAATATTGCTAAAAACGGCGTTAAAACCATACTCACTCACTCATAAAGGATGGAACAGCTTGCTGAAACTTACATACGTGGACACTGTATCTATTCTGCCAGTTGTACAAGGAGGTGATGTATAAGATGCCTGATAGAATAGCCTCGTTTTGGTATATCTGTATCAGATGGGACCCATGCTGGTGATATATAGACAGCCGAGTGGTCACATAGAGGTCATACGAGGACCCATTAGTCGAGGTTAATATTCAGACTGGTCACGTGAAGGTGAAGGACGTTTTGCCCGTTCCAGGGACTCCTCGTCAAGGAACTTGTATATTATGGCAGGTAGGTTAGCCTTGTGGTGAGTGCGGCACCTCGTCTCAGATACTATCCGGTTTAAAGTCATATTTAAAATTGTCCCTTGAAATTGTAGGACTGGCAAGAGCAGTGTCAGTATTTTCCAAGTTCGCCATATTTGACATGCCTTGTGGGTTTCACCAAAGTGGTGAACGTCTATGAAAACCACCATCTATCCACTCATCCATCCTTCCATCCATCCATTCATCTGTAATATGTATAACCAAGTTCAAAGGTCTTAATGGGAAACATTTTCTACTACTACTACTACTACTACTACTACTACTTTAGAATCCATCAATCCATCCATCCATCCATCCATCCATCCATCCATCCATCCATTCATTCAATCATCTGTAACGTATAACCAGTTTCAAAGGTATTCTTGGGAAACAATTTCTACTACAGTATTTAACATTCCCGTGTTATCCATACACGACGGCAGCGACCAGCGAATACAGAAATTGCATAGTTATTTCAATTTCACCTTAAGGATTTGCAATGATCATGCACCAATATTTCAGAAACACTAGGACTACCAGTTTAAAATATTGTGCTACCTGTACAGGCTATATTTGCTCTTGTCGTGATGGACATGTCGATCAACTCGAGAGGTTAGTCTTCAATGTAAACAGGTGTGTTCTCTGCCTTATGTACTCGATCCGCCAGGTGTGTATGTTTGCAGTAACACAGGCGGGTACTGCTACCCAGAGCTAGTCTGTGTCAGTGTCCCTGAACCGCATCATTTCCCCTTCAGCCAGGACCTTTGTGCAATGCTAAAGCCCTAAAAGAAGCAAGTCTAGATTTCCCCAAGTCTGAATCTCCCTTCTCAATTGTACTCCTTTTCAATTTGAAACGATTTGTTTCTATCAAAAATTTATATATTCAGAGACTAAGCGTTAGTCTAACCCAGAGGCTGCACCTCAAAACAAACGGGAGATGTGGGAATACGGTTAATTAAGTCGTTGTCTTGCAGAGTTGTGTTAATTTCGCCGTGTTAATTATCAACCGTGACAAACCGTGAAAATCCGAATTTTATTCCCGACAAAAGAGTCCAGTTCAAATATTATTTTAACTCTTTACTATATGCATGATAACAAAGCCAACTTGGCTTATGTACATTAACCTCAGGGGTTCTGTGTGTACACTTGGGCCACGGAGTTTCCTGTTTAACCGCGAAGTCTTTAATAGAATTCGAGAATGACATCGACCGTCCTAAGCAATTATAAATTGTACATGCTTTGAACAACAGAAAATGTATTCCCTGTTTGGAAGGCTGTTATAATAAACAGACATCGGTGTGCTGTCAACCTGGAGAGTCAGTTACGGTTTTGGAATGATCTATACTAGACACAACATATTCCGTATCTTCAAAACACTTAGCTAAACACCTCACACAGCTGGCGATATTTGAATTTTAGATTTCCACTTCTGTTGTGTATTTGAAAGATCATTGGTAGTTTTCAAATCTTTATGAGCTGGTGTCAGTTGCCTAAGGCAACTTTTGAATGATATGGAGGTCGTCGACACAAAAGGGTTTCGGAAGCCAGTGAAGACCCATTTTACACCCATTGCTGGCACAACGGACCATTTCGTTACAACGCTGTCTAAGACGCCACAATAGCCTACATTTAATGGACGTGCAAGGATTTTATACTAGTTTATTCTGTCTTCTTACTGTTTATGGGTTTCGTGCCTCAGGAGGACTGACTGACTGACTTTGTTTGGTTTTACGCCGCTTTTAGCAATATTCCAGCAACATCATGGCGGGGGACACCAGAGCCTCAGGAGGAAAACCCAGGTTCTCAGGTGTCATCAGATTTGTAATTACCTGCATCACTTCAATTCTTTATCCCAAGAAGTGAGTGAGTTAGTTGAGTTTTACACCGCACTCAGCAATATTCCAGCTGTATGACGGCGGTCTGTAAATAATCAAGTCTGGACCAGACAATCCAGTGGTCAACAGCATGAGCATCGATCTACGTAATTGGGATACGATGACATGTGTCAACCAAGTCAGCGAGCCTGACCACCCGATCCCGTTAGTCGCCTCTTACAACAAGCATGGGTTACTGAAGACCAATTCTAACCCGGACATTCACGGGTCCCACATCAAGAATGCTGGTCATGATATAAAATGAGTTCACAAGGACACTAAACCCATCCCACCCGTCATTTGATTGAGCTGGCGAAGTTCTGCACCACATTTGTCATACTGCGGACATGTCATTATGAATTAAACAAGGATGTTTAACGTAATAAATACACACGCTTTCCACTTTCTCCTCTTGAGTATAGGGTGGGCTAGCCTAGTGGTAAAGGTGTTCCCTCGTCGTGCCAAAGGCCTGGTTCGATTCCCCAAATTTGTACAATGTTTTTCTAAAAGCGGCGTAATACCTGCTCACTCACTGTTGTGGGTGCAACCCGTGAAGCCAATATCTGGTGTCCCCGCCGTGATATTGCTAGACTATTGCTAAGCTGCGTAAACCCAACTCACTCACTCATACGTATATCATGCCCGTGGTAAATGCTTACAGGTTGGGTCTGTTGGGATATTCAGTTCTTACCATATCTCAACTCACACATTCTCTTATAATAAAAGCATTCTATATATCTATTGTAAACATTTAAACCTAATACAACGATATATGTAACTCACTGCGCTATATTAATGTAGAACATCAAATTGGTGATGTCAACCACAGACCGTCGCCATACAGCTGAAATATTTTTATATTGATTTTGTTGTTGTTGTTGTTTTGGGGGTTTTGGCGTTTTTTCATGTTTTTATTCCCAGAATTATGTTTACAGACTTTACCTCAGTAGTACAGTACAGTACAGGTAGCTTGTTAGTATGCAAGTACAGTGTTTCCTTGATCTCATTGTCAAATAACATGCTGTTCACAAATATGTAAAAACAGCTGAAATATTGCTGAGTTATAAAACCCCACAAAACAAAAACAAACATTGTTGAACTTCAAAGCAAGGTTATCTACCCGCAACGCGGCCTTAGATATGTCAACGTTTTTGTCCCCCCGTTGCCTTCTGTTTAGGAACTAGTCCTCCGGGTCTTGCCAAGCAAGGTTATAGTGATCTTCACAGTTCTCTTATCAAGCAGAAGTCAGTTAAATTCTGAATAGGTTTGTCCAAACATCTCACTAGTTACTCGTCCTACTGACATTTTAGTGGATATTTGTCGCAGTAAAACGATATTAAGTTACACCATAACTGTTTAAAGGTTTACAGAACGAGACTGTGGAATCGTTTTGCTCATTTATTCTATAGCACTATGCCATAAACACAATGCCATGATATTGTTGTTTGCACTGAATTGAATATATATTTTTTCTGTACCTGATCGGGAAAGTGAAATCTATGTACGATGTATGTTTTACGATGAATACGTGTTTTAGGTGCAGGACACTAACGAACTCAAAAGCACCACTAATTGTAATTCGTTATATCCGTAGTTCGTGATACATTTCGTGAGAGAGTAAGCGAGTTTAGTTTTATGCTGCACACAGCAATATTCCAGCTATATGGCGGCGGTCTGTAAATAATCGAGTCTGGATCAGGCAATCCAGTGATCAACAGCATGAGCATCGATCTACGCAACTGGGAACCGATGGTATGTGTCAACCAAGACAGCGAGCCTGACCACCCGATCCCGTTTGTCGCCTCTTACGACAAGCATGGGTTACTGGAGATCATGAATTCTAACCCGGATCTTTACGGGTGATACCATTTCGACTGATATATAGAGCAAGTGGTCGGAATAAAAATGGCAATTTGTTATAAGTGTGTCTAAACGTAGTTTACTGTATTGTATAACATTAGGCATGTATCAGCCTTGAGTGTCGTGACATTATGACATTGTGTGTATATGGTTGTTGGAGTCATTGTAACATGGGACAACGCTGATAAGGTTCCCAACACAGCCACGCGCACGTTACCGCACGTGGGCGTTACGCAGCGGTAGCGTAGAAAAATGCGACGTAATCAATCTTGTCAGCCAGGAAAGTAACGACATCTTCAAATCCGTTGTCAAATTCGCTCAACGGCAGAGTCATTTAAAGAAACGCTCATTTGATACATCTACGGATGGGGAACGGATGCCGAACCCGTTAGGTAACGTTTAAACCCATCGTTTTGCTCAGGAACACACGCTTTGTAACATATAATTTTACTCAAAGATTTTTCTATTTCTTATCTCCAGACAGGATGTGTCCTAATTACTACATAATGCGAAAAAAGACATCGTGTGTCTGTGTAATAAGGTAATTAAATGTTTCTAGGTTAAATTGACAAGGAACGACATGGACAACCAAGTTATTAAGGCCAAGTTCATTAAGAGTGTGTCCACCATTCAAGTATATATAGTAATGTATGGCACACAGTGCCACACACCCGTTCGTAAACAAGGTTCACGAAAGTTTTGACCTTAAAGTGTCGGTCTTGCATCCGACATTAATGAATCAACTGATGATATTATAATGAAACGCGAAAGTGTCTATTTGATTTGAGGGACGCATAAAACACGTTAGTATCTAATAAGAAACCTTGATTTAAGAGACTGGGTCAACCACTTCTCGATCGATATCGACCCGTCAATATAAACAATGTCCTTTGTGAATAAGCGAAGTCAAGATAAGACTTAAATATTGCAGTTGGTAAGAGATACAGCCAGTCTAGACAAGGGTTGCTAAGAAGTTAGCATAAATAACGAAGAACGTGTTAGTGTCATGAAAGGTGGGATGTCAGCTATGTTTAGCCTCTTACGGACCATGAAGTCAGAGTGACCTTGCCACTTTGCACGTAACGTGATGACGTGATGCGTGGTTAGGAGCTCTAGAGTGATGTGCGATGCGACATATTGTCTCGCTGATGCAGATGGACATTGCTTGGCGCATTGCCGCTGGGCTCGTATGTAATAACAGGTACTCTCAGGGACGCATCTTGCTGTTAAACATGGACAGGAATAAAGAATAACGTTTAGAAATCCTTGCAATCTGTCTCTCCAGAATGAGTTGCATTATAATATCCTCTGACAAATGACATGCCTCCATGTGCATAATGTCATGGTCTACTATGTTTAACAATTTCAGTAATATCTTTCATGATACAATCTCAGACACAAGGGCACCAGCTTTTCCCGATACGTTCCCCTCTTTTTCACAAGAACACTTCCACAATGATGGCTTCTGTCTTGGCTACAATAACAGGGCGTTCATCTTCATTGTAACGTGACATTAACACGCACCTGTCCAGGCGGTTTAATGGTGTAGATTCACGAATTGTGCTTATTGTGGTACTTTCTCCACATATTTAGGGCGTGTTTGTCATGTTTATTTCATAAATGATAATATCTTTGTCAGAATATATGACAAGCAGTGATGTTCAATGTATATTTCAGAGACGGCGTGACCGTAACATTGATTTCGCTGTCGCGATACTGTTCTTAAGGAACAGGGGCCGTGGGGTATCCTAGTGGTTAAAACGTTAGCTCGATACGCCGAAGACCCGGGTTCGATTCCCCACACGGGTACAATGTGTGAAGCCCATTTCTCATAGGCGGATCCAGAAATTTTTTCAAAGGGGGTTCAGGGGTTCGAACCCCACCTTGGCTCTGCCATTGCAAAACATTAACTTCAATGTGGTCTTTAGTAATTTTCAAGGGGTGGTGGGCTGTGTGTTCCGAACAGCCCCCCTCTCTGGATCCGCCACTGTTTCTGGTGTCCCCTGCGATGATATTTGGCATATTGATAAATGCGGCGTAAAACTAAACTCACTCACTTACTCTTAAGGAACTTTAAGGTGTATTTAATTTTTAAACCTGACTCCAGAGAGAGCATGAAAAGAACAGGTTTTTTTTATCTCAAGGCCTTTCTATGGATTTCAGAGACTTTCACACTCGACGGGTGCTACCGATAGAGCCAGATGAAGCCTTTCGTCAACACTCGATGCTTTTATTGTGTACCATTTTATGTCAATAGATTATTGAAGTATGTCAAGTCTGCAACCACGTTTGTTCCAATCAGATGTTTGTTAATATGAATGACATAATCGTTAATAATGTGTCTAGAATCAAAATCAACAGAATGTATTAACCGATAATGATAAAATGACTACCCCCAATGCACCTATACTCAACAGATATAACATAATATAACTCCATTTTACACTGACAATAAACGAGACCATGGTCGATGTATATTATCAGTGTCTATTTCACACCTGTCTTCATCTGTACACAGTGACAGACATATACACGACGGTTCCCCATCTTATATTGGGTGCACACACGCTTGTCTGCCTATCTGTCAAGTCAGTGAACAGCTAAAAGGTATCTCACATCAAACTGGTAATGGACAATTCGTGTTTTAAGTATATGTCCTTTAACGCCAGATATTGTCCGGAAGTATCTAAATGATTTATCGATTATTGTTTAGAACTATTATCGCCAGTGTAAATATGGCGATACCAACTGGTAATCCAACCAAGCTGTCATTTAAGCAAGACCCTTTAGTATTTAGGTTTGTTTCTATTTACCATCTTTGGGGCTTCAACAGGAGTCCATTTTTGGACTCGAGTACTCGAGTACTCGAGGGGTGAGACTCGACTCGGACCCGAGTACTCGAAATTCATACCTTTCAAGCAAACGTTCAATTGTCAAGATAGTTACCTAATCATTTTCAGAAGTGAAATCTCAATCGATGTATAATATTTACTCTCATCTGCAGACTTGTAACAACTAATACCATACAGCCACACCGTGTGAGGAGTAAACTATTTAATCTAGGTGTTAATGAAAACATTATCAGATGGGTTAAAGAATTCAGGGTA